CCCAGCCTAAGTGCAGCGATGGTGAAAAACCCTGGCCTAGAGCACCATTTTTCAACCTGGGCCACAAGAATCTCAAAGTGAGATGAAAAGGAATAGATGAAAAGGTTGCAAACAAACTTTAAAAATGGATTCTCCTTTAAAGAAGAAAAAACATGGGAAACCATCATTTTCCCTTGTGGGCTGGCAGAGTTCTAGCCTGTGAGGGGCTGCTTGGGGTCCCCCATTCCCCTCACACACTGGGGGGCTCAGGCCTGTGGGGGGCATCAGGTTGGGGGTGAGGGACACTGGGTCGGGACTGGCCATTGATGTTTACAGATGGGTCCTGGTACAAAAAAGGTTGAGAACCACTAGCCTAGAGGACCATCACCTGTGAATGCCTTTATCTTGAAAGAGACAAACGGCAATATTTTGTCAGTTGCATGGAAGTAATGCTCATAAAAACCTCGCTGAACCCTAACTTTGCACCGAAGAGCATTTAGCAGCTACACAGGTGACCTACTTTGATTTCAGTGGAGAAGGAAGCTGCTACCTAGTTAAGCTAACGTCTCCTTTAAATATTAGTTGTCCATAACATACATCATTGGAGAAGGACAGAAAGAGCAAGACTTGGGAATACTGTTAAACTGTCTGCACGTACTGAGCTGAGGTTCTCTCTTGCTCTCTGTCTGGAGGAGTTTGAGCCAACTTGCCTGTTTTCCCCATTTGAAATGTAGTATGGTAGCTTGAAATAAAAGATAACACACATCCTGTATGGTATGTGCATAGTACAGTGGTCCGTAACTTTCTGCAGTCAGACCAGGTTCGCTTTTTAATAAAAGGGTGTCCACCCATCAAAGTGCATAAGGTGCTATCTTGTGACTTGAAGTCCTCAACCCTTTAAATTCAACATGGGTGAATTCCATTGAATGGTACCAAGTTTCTGTACAGAAGACCCTTCCTGCAGGATGGGCAAAACGGTAAGGTACTGAGATGGTAGTTTCCTCTTGGTTCACTGTAAAATGCCAGTTTCTGAGGGGGTGGAAAACCATCCACAACATAAAGCTGCCATCACAGCTGTCACTAATTGGCAGTATCAGCTGAGGTAGAAATGATGTAACATAGATAGATAATCAGCCTCTCCTCTCACCCTCAGACATGCATGAAGTACCTTGATAGAAATAAATACTGCCCATTTTATGTATTCCATGGCAAGGTAATTCGATGCTTAGTGCTTTTGATCAGATATCATTTATCAGCTGTAAATAAAATACTGTGTCCTAAAGGCGCCATCTTGTACTTGACCCTAGGGGTTTATGTTAGGTGACCTAGTTTTTTCCATTGCTGCCTCTATTTCTCTGTGAAGGATTAATGACTAAGACTGCAGACATATTGGGTGCATTCATGTTTTACAGCCTAGATGCAGTTTTTCATGATGCTGATCCTCCAAATCTGCCAAAAAATAAGTAAGGCACTTGTGTATATGTATACAGTCACTGTGAATCTCTCTCAAATGAAACCACAGTTACCACTGGGTGTGTTACAGACCCCACACGCTAACAACTAAAGATTCTCCTTATTTGTTAGGAAGTTATGCTTTTGTAACAGAAGTATCTGAAGCCCTGGGATGCCATAGGGAAGAGTACAATGACAAATGTCATGTCCAGGATTATTCAGTGCTATTGGAGCATCATAGCTGGAAGATGCTCTATTTGGCCAATACAGAAAATGAATTCAGTCTCCATGCATAGAGCACTGATTAAGAAGTTGGCAAGCGATGGATGACCTTGTAAATACTCATGTTTGTTTACACTATAGCAAACTAATAAATTGAGTTTACTAGCTGGTTTATAAAGATTGTAGTGATATGGTTTAACAGTGTTGGTATAAATGGGCACTCCCATTCTGTATCTTCTGCCCTATTTGCTCACATACCCTAAGCAGGGGTAGATCATCTTGTACTAGATTGCCAAATATGTGCTAACATTCCTCATTAAAACATAAGAAGTCCTGCTACCACATGTCCTCTGTTGCCTCTTAGCATACAAAAGACTTCAAATTCTCTCTTAGGGGCAAGGCAGCCTGGAATATCACAGTCCATTTACTAAGAAGGAAGACTAAGAGGAATTGATCTCAACAGGCAAGGTAATGCAATCTTCCTAACAGGTCTTTCACCTCTAGGAGCATGGTTCACTTAACACAATGTAGCACTAAGTGAAAGGAGCTCTAAGGAGATCACGTCAGCTCCCCTTTGGTAGATTAGCAGGAAATTTGACAAACCTTTCACAGTTCGTGTTTTAAGAAAGGTCAAGGATAAAAGTCAGAATGAGAACTACAGCACTTGAATCTAAACCTGAAGGAAGTTGGATGGCAATCAGCTCAGGTGTATTAGGTGGGATCTTATCTGGATGGTGATGTGGAGGAAACTGATAGTTTGTGTTGGCTGCCACTTTGGCAGACACCTGAGATTTAAGGCAGGATCTTCCAGAGAAGGATGCTCATTGCTTTTACAGCTTGAGCTAAAACTCACTCTAGCTAGGAGCTGGAAGGTACTCATCACATCCAAATGAGCTCATTCCTACCCTCTGGGCAGAGAGAGCTCATTTCAAATGTCAGAGATCCACAGTGGTTCAAAATCCCAGACAAACCCCCACACAACTCAGAGGCTCAGATTTCCAATAGAGGCAGAGGATTCTTTATTAAGCGAGGCTATAATTGAGAAAGTCCTATAGGATTAAACAGGGATGATAGACTTTAATGGACATATTGCAATTATTCTAAATATTTATAGACTGCCATAGAAAGCATAAGATCCTCTAACAGGTTTTTTTTAAGCCATTCTGCAAAGAGGTATTGTCACCTTCCTCTGTCCCCCTCTCCAAATCAACCAAAAGTATAAGTTCAGGCTTTTTCTTTGTGGGAAGACACCACAAAGACTAGAGGACCAGCAAAACAGTCCATTCTAAGAGCCCAGAAAGTGAAAGCTGAGCTATTAAGAAGGAAAGAGATTTATAGTTATATTGCTTTTAAGATGTGTAGCCTTTCATTGTTAACACCTCTAACTTTAGTGGCTAATTAACATCTAGATGAAAGAATTCAGCTAAAAATTCATTCTTCTGTATGGAATTGCCACTTACCATAAACAGCCCTAAGACCTCCTCTCCCAGGCTTTATCTAGTCTAGGATTTAAATGTGCAAGACATACTGTTAGTTCACTCTAACACACCACTTTCTATAACTGTATTCAAGTCAAGGCACATGGCAAATTGTAATTTGATATGTGCTAAACCGAGGTTCTAACTCAATTAGCTTAGCAGGTGTTAAAGTACAACTTGCCTTGATTAGACTAACATCCTTAGTTAGATCAAACTCCCTAGCACAATATTACACTTTAAGTCCTAATCTACACAATGTTCCAGAGCTCAAAGGGACAGGAATTGATGTATAAAGTGTTTGAGGCTAAAAAGGCATAAAATAATTTAAAAATCATCCAGGCCTCTGTCATGAATACAGAATGGAGTGGGGAGGGGGTGGACACCCCAACAAGTTTAGAATTACAAAAGCTGTTTGTACATAAACTTGAACAAGGTTTTCTGAGCTCCATTCTTCTTGCCACAGCAGTTGTGCTGGTATTGCAAAGCTAAGGAAGCTAAAGGATGTGGTGTGCAATTTTATTTTTCCCTCTGCATGTGCTAGAGCAGGGGTAGGCAACCCCTGGCACAAGTGCCAGAGCATGGCATGTGAAGGCATTTTGCTTGGCATGTGCACCTTGGGATGGATGGTGGGGAAGGGGCTGGAGCTGCACTGCTACAACAAGGACTGGGCCTCTTGTGGCTTCCCTGCCATCTGCCCCTGGCACACCAACATCTTACAAGTCAAGGTTGTAGGTGTTTTTGGCACGCTGCCCAAAAAACGTAGCAAATGCTAAGCTAGAGGTTTTTTTTCTTAACTTTAGATCAAGAGACTTAAAAGTAAATAGTGAGTGTCAATAAGTCAGTTTTCTGTTGCCTGAATTGAAACAATTTACAGGGGCCTGATTTTGAGAAAGGGATGACTACTGTCCCTCTGAAAATCTGGATCCTTTCAGATGCTTTATGTTTAACAGCCCAACCTACAGACACACAACATCAGCAAGTAGTCACCCTTTCTATGAGAAAGAGGAGTGAGAACCCCAAAGATTAACAGATGTTTGACAAGATGATTTCTGAGACTCCTCTTCTTTAGTTACATAATAATTAAGCTTCTTCTAAGCTGGCTATGATGTTAGGTAGAAAAGGGGGTGCTAGAATTAACTACACACTGAAGAAAGCATTCACTTAGCTTTCTTGAGAACTCCTGAGCCAAGTCCGGCTGTGTTTGGAAACTGTCCCCAGAATGTCCTAAAGAAGCCTACTTCTGGATGCCCTTGCTTTTAAGGCCAGCCAGCTGAAGTGTGCTCATTAAGGGGGTGGGGGAAAGTTGCTGACTCAGCTGAAAATGGAAAGGGGGATTTGTACCCAGTCCCCCTTCTTCTTTACTGACAATTTTGAGAAGAATAGTTATCGTGCGGGAAATTAGAAAGAGAATAAATCCTTCTGATTAAAAAATAATGCATATATAGTTATATCATTTGCTTGCCTGTGCTACAAAGCCTGATGGGAGGTGGTAATTATAAAAGCTCCTGCATCAGGTGGGTTGGAGATAGGATGAGATGAGGTGATGAGCAGGGAAGGACTGAGGAAAGGGAAGGACCTTTTGATGCTGTATTGCTATTGCTGAGCATAGAGACAAAGAAGTCTTTTTTTTTGTTTCTTTTTGTCTTTTACTTAGCAGTATCCTTGCCAATGATAACTTAAAGTAGTTTTCTGGTAGCTGGGGAGAGGAGATGGATAACTTGCTAGCCTTTTTTCTATGACTCCTCTGGTATCTTTCTCATTTAGTTAACAAGCTTTTTCCCCTGACTAAGGGTCTTTAACTCCTAAGATTCTCCTTTGAAATGTCAAGCATTGAGCTCTGTTCTACAGTACACTGACTCATGGTGAGGGATTAAATATCACTTTTGTATAGTTTGCCTAAACAGCAACCAAGTTGGGTAGAAGAACAGTATTACCTTGTTGAGGAGCAAGCCTGAAGTAAAATATTTAAGGTGGTCTAAGGGATTAATGAAATTAAACTAGCACATCTAGACCTAGTGACAGGTAAGTGGTTGCTCTGGTGTGCTTGGGAGGCACTGGCCCATCCAGTGGAAATGCTGTTTGTTTCATTGGTTAGGAATGAACACCTCTTCTAAAACCTACCATAAAAGCACTTCTGCAGTGGCTGGGATGTGGAGTTGCATCCTAATAGGATTTTTGTTTTGCCCGGCTAATATCTATGAAACAGAGTTCCCACCCAAACAGTCTGAAAAGGGCTGTAACTCTCCATGTGCTGTCTCAGAGCAGTGAGGTAAAGCCAATATTAGGAGGTGAGCTCTGTTTTTAATTGCAGACCTCTTGTCTTCAAGATAGCCCTACTAGGTGAAATGAATACTGTTACTTCCCTAACTTCACCATTAGGTGTCTCTGTTACACGGTCTTACTGATCATGGCTTTACTTGGTGAGGAGGTTTGAGCTAATCATTGCATTGGCACATATTCCTTTTAGTAGCATAGCTGCACACAGCACTGCGGGGCATACATTTCAGAAATGATGAGAGGGTAGATGGCTCTCTGTAGAATGGGCCAAGGCAGGTGGATTTTTTAAGTGTTTCCTTCCCTAACTTATGATGGGAGAGGCAGAGTGCAGCTCAGGAGACTGGCAAACAAGTCTGTCAATCCCAAATGCTACCAAATACTGCTCTTGAGAAACTGCTTTTGGTCTCCCTTTGCTGATGGGTGAATGTCTGCACAGTACTTTGAACTCATCAAGTAATGACTCTGCTGATGATTGAAGCCAATTGTCCATCTGCCTCTAAAATCCCAATACGTTTTGGCTAACTTTGCTGCGTTTTGTCATTACCTTGTGTACAGGATAGTGAAGACCTTCCTTCTCTTTAGGAAAATTCTGAGAGGGATTATACCCCAGAAATTATATTATTATATCTATCGTTTCCCCTTGTAACATTCAGTTACATAAGTATCCATCTTTTATCCTTGAGGCAGCAACATTTCAATGAGAGATAACTAATAAGGATGTTAATACTCATATATTCCTATACATACCACACCCCAACAGTCTAAAAGTACTATAAATATAGGAATTTCAACTCCACCATATGCCTGTAAGGTATGTTTCATAATACTCAGGGCAGAGTTGGCAATACAACTCCAAATTCATGATTCTTACATTGCAGGTTTTAATCTTATACAACTACTCAATGGTAGCAACAACAGTAGTATGTGACATCTTGACTCCTGTGAATGTCTCATGCATACAAATACATGTATATGGTAAACCAGTTAGTGTATAAAGGCAGCTGGATCCCTTCTAAATGAAAACTACTCTCTAATATATTAGTTATATAGCACTGCAATGAAGTAAAAGGTAAATTAAAACAAGCATGATCCTAGAGCTTATGTACATATTTACCAATTTGCATTTTAAGTAGTATCCTATCAGTTAGACAGTCACATATAGATCAATGACAACATGTTTGCTATGAATATACATCCATCTCAATAGTGGCATGTCAGTTCCAGAATTTGTGCATTGATACTGAGTTAACAACAATGTCAGTCAGTCATGTATTTGCAGCACATTTTTATTCTATGACCAGATGCAAAAAACAAATTCACATTTATTTTAAATAAGGGACATTTTGAGAAACAGCTAAAAAGTTACCAAAATAATTAAATAAGGCTGATAAATTTTAATCTTACTGTAACCTTACTTGTGCTCCTTAATAACTATGGTTATATTTTCTTTGCTCTTTATTTTCTTGCTTTCATGTATTTTCATTGAAACCTGGCTGTTTAGATAAGATGGCATATGTTTGCATTCATGCATTTGTATATATACGCATATGCATACACAGTATTTTATAGAATAATTTGAAAAAAAGATTTTGCTGTATAGAAGATGAGGTGTTTTGTTCAGCTGATGCAATAACATGATACCATAGTCCAAAAGAGGCAAATTTATTTTGTACCATATGCTGTTGTGTCATGCACTTTGGAGAAGACTTTGGTGGTATAAAAATAGCATAGAGCTAGGGATTACTCTGGTTAGAATTTAAATTTAGGACACTGTAATTTGAGCCTATTGTATTTTTTTATCCAGTCTTCCTCCCTAAACTGCAGTGCAAGTCAGTTCAAAATAGCTGAAATGGTTTATCAATGAAGTCATTGCCAGAATGGTCGCTCCATGGAATTTATGGCTAATGAGATTATTAAGCCTGTATTTGCTCAGTGGACTCTGAAACATCGAGGTAAACTTACACATTGTTATTTTGTTGCCAAGAATGTGTCTGAAGTTCATTTTCTCTTCTGAGATTTTAAATCCAATATAGTAGGGCTCCCAAAAATGTACAGGCATGGCTATATGATATATGATCTCTATTGCTAAAAGAGGTTGACTTTTTGAGTAGGGTTTTTATTGTGCCCTGGGAAAAATAGCCTTCACTAAATTGCCAGCCAAGCGGGAGCTTCATAATACATAGATTGGTCCAAACCAAACCCTTGAAATAGAATATTCCCAACCTTTGGAATAACTTGGTTCCTGAACTAAATGTAGCAGGTCAAACCTTTGTCTGATAAAGTAATCAATAATCTGTTTTTCTCTTTCCACTGAAATCTCACCCAGGAGTATACTCTCTTTTTTGTGCCAAAGTCATCATTACACAACCAGACATTAAGTAGAAATGTCAGCTGCAGTTTCGTTTTGACATAGCTCTAATTTTTATAAGGCGTAGGGAGTTTTAACTTCACAGATTTTTTTTTACCGTGAGGAGTAATTTTATCCACTCCTGAAGTGAGGCCATCTATAGATGAAAGGGCTATGTGAGAACTGCGTATTATTATGAAGTAGAACATAGAAGCTTTTGAAAATGTTACAGTGACACTATTCAGCAGGTTGCACTAGGAAGTGAGGAAGGATGCTGTCTTCAGTTAAAATCTTGGGGGAAGTTTGAGGAAGTCAAATCCTATTATGCAAGTAGGAGCTTGGTCAAGACAGAAAGTCTAGCACCCTCTTCTACCCAAAACTGCTATATAATTTTTGCGGCAACAGATCAAACCTTGATTTTTAAATCTTATTTGAAACATAACGCTGCTTAAGGCTGTAGGGAATATAAGTATGTCTATACCAGATCAGAGCAATGGTTCACCTGTTCAACATCTTGTCACTGAAGAGGACCAGAGCAGATACTTCAGAAAGGCAAGGAAAAAACTAGTATGTGCCGATGTACTCATAAAAGGAGTGGTATTATTAATTGCAGACAGTTAGTGGGTAGTTTATACCATTGAGTATAAGGTTTTATATTCTTACTTAAATAACTGCAGAAAGTCACATAAATGTCCTCTTTGATTCCTACTAAGTTTTGTCTCTCAATAATATGATGAGACATGGTTTTTTGAAGGTTATAGTTGCATTGTTTGGAAAACATATTTCCTTTCCTAGTGCTAGATTTGTTGTGTGCAGCTTCATTTCATTATGAGAAGAGTAAATCAAAGTAACAAATTTTCCTTATTAATATTATTCATTCTTTTATATCCCTCTATAATGTTCTACTTCCATTTATCTCCTCTGTAAATCACATGGTCATATCCTAATCTTTTTTTAATGAAGAGTGCTGGTTCCAAGGAGAGTGCTTCCTACTGAACTACCCATACTACTTTATACAACTTTTTTTCTTGAGAGATTGTTTAAAATATATATATGTATATGTGTGTGCGCGCGCACACACACACGCACGCTCACACACACACACACACACACACACACACACACACACAGTTCAAAGAATTACAGAGTAATTTCATTGTCTGTACAGCAAATCAGAATTGCTAGATTGCACGTCATGACAGATTTATTCTGCCCTCCATGTAGCTGGGTCATGTTGTAGCCAGGACTGCTTTGGTCCATCAGATATTGATTTGTTTGGCTGAGTATTTCCTCATGAGATTATTCTTCACTGGTGATGGAAGATGAGATTGTTTGGCTACTATGAATTTAGTCTGTAGGCCAATTTATTCTTTTTTGAGGTGTAGAAGCATTCTGAATTAAATAAACTTTATCTCAGAAGAGCTAAAATATCTAAAGCTTTGTTAGAAAATCAAATTTGCATTCAAACAAAACCAGAGATTTCTTAAATGTTTGAGTTGTCCCAGATCTGATTACACAGACAGCAAAGCCAGGGGAGCTCTTTGGCATGATATGATTGTCAAGCAACAACTCAGGGTGGAATCAGTATCTCATTATAGACAGTGGGACAAAACTGGTACTTACTTTAAGTAAGGTTTTTATAAGGCGTAAATTAAAGGAAAACATGCTTTTCAACACAGTATGCCATTACTGTTGTTCAGCTAAAAACTAGCTTTGTATCGCCTATATAATTGTTTTATCTAAGAAAGAACTCAGAAGTGATTTTTTTACATTTCTTTTACTTAGCGGTCCCTAGTGGATATATCTTTCTTTCTTTTATACATAGAGTTTAATTGTGGTGATGCAAAGGCAGAGAAGGAGAGATAATAATGGATAACATGTTTCCATAAACTCTTCAGGCAAGCATTATTGAATCCCCTTACCACAGGAAGGCCATATGAAATGACTGCTCAGGAAATCGGAGAGGAAACAGAACATCTAATCTGGTTCAATGGATTTTTTCTATGAGTATAAAAATATCAATGGTGTGGGCTATTTAATTCTGGAAAACACTTGACCTGACATTGGCCTATAAGCAGTACTCCTCAATAGACTGATGTGTGGAACAACTAAACCTACTGTATAATTTTTAATTCACCCAGGTGAGGATGTTGAAATGACTGTGCTTAACCTCTATGGCTGCATGCACACGAACAAGCATGTGTCTATTGTGGTATCTCAAAGCAATATGAGACACTGCAGGAGGCACGCCATGAACTAAAAAATTTTCCCTGTGCTGTGTATTTGCAGTGCGGACTCTAAGTTTGATACCGGGGAATCCTGGTATCAAAAGAAAACATGCCAGAAAAAAATGGTGCAGGGTGCACTCCTGGAGCATGCCCCGAAGCAGCTGGAGGCTGGGGTTTCCTCCAAGGAGATGCTCAAGCACCTGGCCAGTGTCTCTATGCCTGCCACATGCCCCTGCTGCTCTAGCGTGCTGCCTCAGTGTGCTGGAGGAAAGACAAGCCGGTCATGCCTGACAGCAGTGGCTTGCATCTAGGCTCTGTCCCTGATAAGCAGGGATGTGGGGCTGGGGGGAACTGTGTGGGAGGGTGGGGTCCCAGCTTACTGCCCTCCCACAATGCACTGTCCTTGCCAGCGGTGGCAGCAGCCAGAAGCGGGCCCTCAAGATGCTTATGGCCCACTGCAGGCAGAGCCTCCCAGCAGTGTGTGGCACCACTGGAGTCCCAGGGGCTGCACGTGACGCATGGAGCCAGCCCGGCCCACTGGCGTTCAACTTCAAACAGGACCAGGCCAGCTTCTGCTGTCATCCGGAGCTCCCGGCACTGAAGGCAGGAGCCATGCACCATCAGGCTAGGCCAGCTCCTGCCTCCATGTGGTGGGCACCGGGATTGGTGGCCCCCCGCCACAAACCCCACACCCACAAACCCTCCCACGAGCCTCCCCACAATCCACCTACAACCCCCACATGAACACACCCACAAAACACCCCCCCACAAACCCCATAAATGTGAAGGAGGCAGCTACAGATTTATCGGGAGTGTATGTACAGATTTATTGGGAGGGGTAACTACCACACTGCAGCCCTGCCTTGTACCCACACTGGTCCTGGGACATATGACCCCAGCCTGGGGGTGCTTCTGGTCCCAGAAACCATTGGGGGGGTGCGTGCGTGCGTGTGAGAGAGAGAGAGAGTTGTGGGTGAGGGATGGGGGAGTGCTCTGGGTAGAAGAGGCTGCCAGAGCCAGGCTTGAAGCCACCCTGTCCCCCTAGGGCAGCCTGTGCAGAGGGAGGCCAGCCTGGAAGGGAAGGGGCTTGTCCAGCCCTGTCCCTGAGCCCCAGTTAAGGGCTTCCGAGGAACGGCTTAGGGATCACAGGGGCCTGAGCACAGGCACAGGGAGCAGGACAGTAAGAACGCAGATTTTGGGTATTTTAGTGAAAGAATTTGGGGGTTTTTGTATTAGAAAATTTACAATTTTAAACAGGGAACATGAGGATCCCTGCGGGTGAGGCAAATGGCAGGACCCAGACAGAAAAGCCTGCCCATGGCCAGCACTGGGGACCCAGCTGGAGGGCAGATGAGGTGGCTGACCTCCTGGCCATTTGGGGCCAGGAGGACATGCTTCGACAGTTCAAAGTGGGCCACTGCAATGACCACATCTTCCAGGTGATAGTTGCCCAGATGGCAGAGCTGGGGCACCAGGAGACATGACAGCCCTCAAAGGCCAACTGTGCAGCCACGGCCCATTAGCAGCTGGCCCATATCACAGCCCAGGTAGCCATGTGGTCCCTGTCCGGGTCTGGCAGGTGTGCAGCCATGGGGCTACAGGTCTAAGGGGGTGGATGCTGCCACAGGTGGCATCAGGTCACAGCCAGGCAGACTGCTGCAGCGGGAAGAGGGTGCAGGGGCCAGTCTAGGCTAGGGCTGCTTCAGCAGTCCAGCTGGCACAAGGGGCTAGTGTTCCCAGATACCAACTGGCTGAGCCTCAGAAGCTCCTGAGGGCAAGTAGCCTTGAGCTGCTCACTAAGGCAGCTTTTTATACTGCTAGCCCCAGCCTCTAGCTCCCCCTGGCTGAAGATCTGGGAGGAGCTGGGTGGGGTCAGTTTGCCCCAAGGGCCACAATTTGCCCCACACCAAAGTGCATGTTCAGGCACATGTGCTGAGGCACAAATTTGTGCCGTTGACACTTGAGTTGCTGCAAGTGCACGTGCCTGTATGTGTGCACATGCCCCATGAGGGGATAAGGGTTGCATATTTCTTGGCAGTGTTTGCTCCATCTTATTAAAGGACTTAGAAGGATTCCAAAGAATTCTACTGAGCTTCCTTTGTCAGGTTGGATAAAATCTACACTGTAGACACATCTAGGATAGAAAGAGGGTTTAAGCAGGACGGAGTAGCATATTCAGAATTCCAACAAGAGGACATTTCTCTGCAATAAACACTGACTTCTGGGGAGCTATTCCTGATTTACACTGGTAAATCTGAAAGGAGAATTTAGGGCTTGGTTTTGGCTGATTGAAACTAACCCTTAACTCTATTTTAAATGAGTAAATTTAATTAATTAAATGATACTTTATACTTTGTTTTCAGAAAAAGAAGAAAGAAACCAGGGAAACGCTCTTTGCTGGAGGGGATATGAGAATTTATGAAAGATGAATTATTTACCTTATGCTCTACAAGACACTGACGCAGCTCCATTTGAAAAGCATCTACATTCCCAAATGAACTGGTGAATAAAACTCCTTTTACAACTCTATAACACCTTCCATCTAGTGATCTCAAGGTTCTTTCCAATGCTAATGAAATAAATCTCAAAACATGCCAGTGAGGTAGGGAAGTATTAATATCCCTTTTTTAAAAAAAAACAAAAATGCAATTATCCCTATTTTTAAATGTGTGATACAAACTGCAGTTAAGTTCTACACAGCAGTTCTTGCATAAATAAGAATCATTGCTCTCTTTAAAGATTTTTTTGAGAATGTATTTTGAGGCTAGAAAAAATGTAAAGGCAACATTTTCAAACTAGGGTACCTGAAGTTGGGCATCAAAATCCATATTTGGGCACCTCAAAAATGATCTGTCAGAAAACCAGCCTACCCTTCAAATTGCCTAAATTCAAAGAGAACCTTTTATCTTGAAAAGTCCTGAAACACTTTATTTTTTTCAGACTAAAAATTTAGGCCATAGGTTTAACTCTTGGGAACAAGAGTACCGTGTGATCAGTAATTACCACAACGCTCTTAATTTTATATTTCAGGCCAATGAAATGGGATGAACACATAAAGAAGTATCAAAGAAGATGGAAATGGAAATCTTTAGAAAACTATTAATCACATTTTTAAATTATATACGTGTGTGTGAATAGAAACACACATGCATACACATATATGGATAGACAGAATATTATTATGGATGAAAATTCTTTTTATACCAAATAAATCAGAATATAGCCTTTTTCTTATGAAAATCAGAAGAAGAACCATGGCATAATAGTTATTCAGCTTATTATCTAATATGCCATCAAGAATATTGTCACTATTAGGCATTTAGCTGTGATGGACTCAACAAGACAGTTTCACTCCCTTCTCTTTCAAAATAATCTAATCTATAAGAAGGGTGGAAAAATCACATAATTTACAATATGGAGATGGAGGTAACAAACATGCCATAGTTTGCAGCTATTGTATTTTTGCCCACTACAGGATATTTTAATTTTTATCCGTCACAAGAATGATAGGGAATGTGATGTCATTCCATCTTGTGATGTCATTCCATCACAAGAATGATTAGGGAACAGGAGGAAAACAAATGGAAGCATAGGACCATTGCTTAACAACTCAGGACAACTGGTTACCAACACTCAGGAGAAAACTGAACTCCTGAATGACTACTTTGCTTTAGTATTTCACCGGACTAAGGGGAAAATCATACTAGATAAGGTTCAGAATGGGCATGGTGGGAATGACCACCTTCCTACTGTTGATGTTGAGCTGGTGTGCAATCAGTTAGAAAAGTTAGACATTAATAAGTCAGCAGGACTGGATGAACTTCATCCGAGAGTGCTGAAGGAACTGGTTGAAGTCATCAGAGGACCTCTGGCAAAACTCTTCCAAAATTCATGGAACTCAGGGGAGGTCCCTGAAGACTGGAAGAGAGCCAATGTTGTGCCCATCTTCAAGAAGGGGAGGAGAAAGAACACAGGCAACTATAGGCCAATTAGCTTAAGTTCTATCCCAAAGAAAATCCTGGAAAAATTCATCAAGGAGTCTATGTGTGATATGCTTGAAGAGGTAGGATTATGAATGACAGCCAGCATGGCTTCATTGCGGGCAGGGCTTGTCTTACCAGTCTCATCTCCTTCTATGACCAGGTAACTCACCACCTGGATAAGAGAGTATACCTAGACTTCCAAAAGGTCTTTGATCTGGTATTCCATGATGTTTCATGGGAAAATTGGAGGATTGCAGGCTTAACTGCTTTTCAGTTAGGTGGGTAAGAAGCTGGCTGTGGGGTAGGACCCAGAGAGTTCTCACCCTGGCGAGAACTGGCCAGTGGTGTCCATCAGGGGTCCGTGCTTAGTCCAGTGCTTTTCAAAATCTTTATCAATGATTTGGATGTAGGAGTGAAGAGCTCATTGGACAATGAGTCCTAGTGGGGTCTTACTTATGCTGGTGATTCAAACATAGTTCCTTGCTGCTCCCACACCTACAGCATTGTCTGCCCACTCTAGTTGCTGCTCTAATGCTAATACTGTGGCCTTTGTGTACCTGAGTGCTGCTGCAGCAACAGCAACTCTTAGGGCTGCTTCTGTTGCTGGGCTGCAGACTCCCCAGGGGCAAGGGTAGATTCTGGCACCCCTTCTCAGTTGGCATCCAGCACTGATGTCCCTAGTAACACTACTGCCTGCTCTCATTCTTGTGTGACCAGCCTGAAAAGAATGATGAGGAGAGAGAGGAACATCAAGATCTAGTTTTCACTATAGAATGCCCTTTGCTGCCAGGTGGGCGCCATATTGTAAGGAAATTGTTGAGGACGAATTGCTGCTGCCAGTGCTGTATTTCCTGTGTGGTAGAAAAGGGCTTGAGTCTTGAAGGCTTTCAGTCGGATCGTTTTTAAGCAGTGCTAAATTTGCTTCGAAAACAGGAAGGCCTGCATGTCTGCTCAGCCCCAAGGAAGCAAGAGCAAAGGTTGTCTATGACTGTTCAAAAAGAGGGTTCATCTGGCCCATGCCCCTTCAATACCCCAGGCCCATGACAAATGAGAAGATATCCCAAGTACTGTGCTTCAGATCCTAGAGAAACTACTATGGAGACTATAGGGGTCTTACCAAAGATTCATTTCCTTTGAATCAGTTTGTGTAGATGAGGTACCTGCTAATCCTCATTTCAGAAAGAATGTCAGTGCTGGAATAACTCGTATGCGTAGGAGCCCCAGATTTCCTCTCTGGAACGGACCACTGGCTTCTCTAGTAATGAATGGTAGCTCATGCCAATTATTTCAAAGGAAGGGCAAAAAACCCACCAGAGTGGGCAGTGATGTAATAACTTGTCTTAAGGAAACTTCCGTCCTATGCTCTATCGGTTGGATGATGGCTCATGCTTTGAAGTGCATGAAATTAACATCCCTTTTAGTTATTCCATTGTAGTCATTTCCCCTGTCTAATATAATTGTGGATGTTCTAATTATCCATTGAAACCTCTTATTCTCTTTTGACTTGTACTGTGCTCGCGCAGGTTGCCAGCTATGGCTCATCCTTTCATGAGTCACTGGTGAACATAATCAAACGCCTGTGGTTGGAACCAAACCTCCTAAGTTTCCAGACCAGGAATGTTCCATTAATTCCTGAGCGATGACTTCATGGGAATATCCATAAAGAACAGGGTTTGAAATGTATCAACCTGATATTTGACATTCTAAGTATGTTTTCTTTTTGCTAACGTATTTGGTAAGGAAGTGAATATCTTTCTGGAGTGATGGCAACTGAACAGGCATAACTGCAGGCAGCAATAGGTGGTACATGCTTATCCTGAATCGCCCTGTAACAAAGGACTTCTGAAGAGCAGAGGGGTTAGCATCTCTGCTCAGATTGCCAACCAGGGTGTCAGTTCATGTTAACTCCCGAGATGATGTTTGTGATGTGCTGGTGTGCAAGGGAAGCTTGAACTGCTGCTGTCTGCTGTACTGTGGACAAAAAAAAGGACAGTTTTAGTTTAATCTTTGATAGCTGGATGTTGCTCACATGCTTTTTGTTCTCAAGGATCTTTCTTTATAACTATACATGTATCAGTTGCTAAATGCTGGGATGCAGCCACTTTTGGGGAGCTGGGGGGGAAACTCATCCACTAACACTGTGTGGCAGATATTTAAGGAAAGGAGTTGAAGGGAAATGTTTCTAATTGACAGGGCAGAGGCAGTTTTAGACAGAATGTAGTCTCTTGTATCTTGATCCTACAATGGGCTGACAGGAAGGTCTTTCAAGTCAACAGACTTCCATGATTATTCTTAGATTTTGAAGGCCAAAAGGGACTGTTCAATCATCTAACCCGACCTCCTGCATAATACAGATCATAGAATTTGCAGGTGTGGTGGTCTGCCATGTGCAATTAATTGTAGGATTGGAGGCTAAACCTGGAAATTGTCAGGACAAGAGAGTTATAATCCTTTAAGCAAAGGAGCATGCAAGGAAACCGGTCCCTTGAGAACCTGTCACCCACACTCCTGAAGGAGGAGTTGCTATGAAAGTTGTGTGGCCTTCCTTCTTCTGTAGACTCAACCAGTGACAACCAAGTTCACTGTTGACACACTCGTTCTGTAGGCAGTCTGAGGTTTGGTGGGAGTAAGTCCCATCTGTGGCAGTAATATTTTTGTTGTTGCTGTTGTGGCCATGATAAGGATAGATTGGAGGGTTAGTTGGGATTTATTTTCCTTGGCATTTTATGAGCTAATAACCTCAGCACATCTGTAGGAGCTGCATATTTGCCGAGGGAGATAATTTTATCATTTGTAGACTTAATATATTTTTTAAAATGTTCTTTTAGTCCCCTCCTACTTTCTTCCTTTTCATACTCTGTTCAGGGTGATCAGTTTTTCCCTCCTGCTTCTCTGCTGTAGTTTATGAACCTGCCAACTCAACTAATAAAATTTCAGGAAAACCTAATTCTATTGAAAAGTTTGATTCAATTTTTTTAAAATAGGAATTTTATTTGAACACCTTGTTTTAATGTAGCTGCCAGCAACATGAGCAGTATTAGGGTTTGCTGCAGAATACATTTCATTTCTCATTCAAAAGAAGTGTTGGATTTTAATAATCTGCAAAGGCAGGAGTCAATGCTAAAACGACATGTTGCTGCTGCTGCTGTTTCGTGCCCAGAGGCTTCTAGACAGTCTAACATAAATACTGGAAATGTGACTGCAAACAAGGAGCAGGCTTTTGAACTTTGAATATAACAAAGAATATAAGCACCCTACATACACTCTCGATAAATCTGTAGCAGCCTCCTTCACATTTATGAAGGGGGTGGGGTTCTCTGCTGCATTTGACCTGGGGGTACCGAAGCAGCTCTCCGGGGATTGTGCGGGCCCTCTCCCGATCCCACCAGGATCGCCATGTGCGAGTTCTCTCTCGATCCCATCTGGGTCGCCATGTGCGAGCCGGGGGGCGAGCCGGGCCCGTCTTTGTGCACACAGGCTGTGGCCAGCAG